AGCGGCGACGGGGCTGCGGACGGTGCCCAGACCGATTCCCGGGCCCCCGGCGCCGCTGCGCCCAGCGCCGGTCCCGGGCCATGCGCTGCCGCTCGGGAGTCCGAGCGCCAGCTGCGCCTCAGGCTCTGCGTCCTCAACGAGATCCTGGGCACCGAGAGGGACTACGTGGGCACCTTGCGCTTCTTACAGTCGGTGAGTGTCGCCTGGGGCACAGGGACAGCCAGCCTCCAGCGCCGGCCGCTAGCCCTGCCGCGCTCCCCACAACCTGTGGCCGCGGTCCCCGGGGGCTCGAGAGTCGCCGCGGCGGCGGGGCGCGCGAGAATCGGGGACCCCGGTCCTTCCAGAGCAGTTGCCGCCTTCCCTGCCGGCCGGGGTCTCCCTACTCGGTTTCCCCCGTCTTGTAGCCCTTTTGTCTTTCCCCCTCCCCGCCTTTCGCATAGTTTTAAAATTAGTTACATCCGCGAGGCTGGGGGCTCCGGGACCCAGGCGCCGGGCGCTTTCTTAGCTGCTGCTTTTTCCCGGGAACAACTTCGCCGGCCGGTGCACCGGCGACTGCGCGTGTGGGCAGACCCTGGAAATCCTGGAGCCCGCGTCCTCCCGGGCTGCAAAGAGCAGGCTAAGATCTAAGCTCGGGGGACGGACACAGATGGACACCCGTCAAACGCCTTTTCGGGTCGGGAGAGCGGGTTTCTAACTCACTATTCGGAAGTCTAGGCTCCCCAAGTACCCTCCCTCCCGTCCCGGTGCAAAGCCACAGGCTCAGTCTTTGTAAAATAACAACCGAGCGCTCATGGTGTGGTGTGCCAGGCACCTTGCATCTATCCTTAGCAGGTTTAACCTTTACAAGTGGCTCATAAAATAGGGGCCAAATATTTCTCGTTTTCAAGATTGGGAGAGTTTGGCTCCAGAGAAGTTGAGTAACTTGCCGAGGATCACCCAGCTGGTTAAGTGGGGAGGCTGTCTGGGCTTTGAACCAGAGTAGTCCCAGGCGGTGCTTTAAACTCCTGTTCTAAGCTGCAGTTCCTTCCCTTTCTGTTTTCTTCTGTGAGAGGGAGGAAGGGACCACTTCCCTCCTTTCCTAGGAAGTGAGAAAAGCGGTGGGGGGTGGTGGTGGAGGAGGGGGTGGGACCGTGCCGAGACCGGGATGGACGTTAGAGACTCCAGGGGCTTTAATCTCCAAGCCTCCTGCTGGGTCCTCATTTACTCCCCTTCTCCGCTCAAGGAAGTCTTAATCCTGGCTCAGGAAGGGCTGGTGTGGGGGTGGAGGCTGTTTCAGAGGCCCCGGAGCCAGGCTCTGCAGCACCCCCAGGTGAAGAGGGAGGCTGGGGCTCCCCGGGGCTGCGCTGTCTTGAGGGTGGCTGGAAGGTGCGCGCGTGGGGGGAAGGGAGCTCTGTGAGACCTCGGTTCCCACTCAGGGAGGGGGCAGCCTGCTGCCTTTCCCAGTGAAAGAAAGGGGGTGGGGGTGTGTGTGCAGAGGCATTGAAAGCCATTTGGCCAAAGGACCCTTCTCCAAAGGCTGTGAGAATGTCACGGTTGGCCATCTTTCCCACTTCTTTCGCTCTCACAGGGTTTTGTTTTGTTTTTTAATCTGCTGTGTTTGAAGCTGGCAGTTTCTGAATTAAAGATGTAGACAGCCCTGGCATCTCTGAGCAGTGTCAGGTTCTAGGGAACTCTTCACTTCTCCCTCGAAGCCACTCCCTGCTCCTCACTCTGGAAGAGAAACAGAAAATGTAAACCAATTTTTGTTTTAATGGCAAAGAAAATATACCACTCCCTCCCACGCCCTTGCCTGAGATAGTGCGGTTCCTTTCGGAACAGATCAAGATCGTGTTGGGTCAGCTGTGGTTTTACATCATCCCTGCGTAGAGTCCGAGGAAGCTGCAATAATGGAAACTGATTGGAGTCAACATTCTTATTATTAAAGAAACTGAGAGAAAAGAAGAGACACCCCTACTTCTCTCCTTCTGCATCATCTCTGGGCCACTCGATTTGCTGAGCTCTCACATTTCTGTCGTTGGCACAGACATGTCTGGTCTGAGATGAGCTGGTTCTGACTTTGATGAATGTCTTGGACCAGTTGTGCCACCTGGCTGACCTCAGTTTTCACATCTGTACAATGAAGGGAGGGAAATCCAGGCTTTCTGCCTTGTCTCTGTGTGTGCCCCCAAGCTGGTGCCAGAAGCGGACTGATTGTGTAACCTGAGAGCCAGACCTGGTTTGTGAGCGGCAGGAGCCCTCCAGCGTCCTGCCTGTGGGGAATGGGCCAAAGAACCCAAGGCCTTTCAGTCTTGGGAACCTGGGCTGCTGCCGCGGGCCCTTCTCATGGCCCGGGCTTTCTCTTCGGGTTGTGACCCTCCCCAGCCTTTATGCTTGCTCAGGGATTCCCCCTGCCTGCTGCCTGGGAAGAGTGTGTGGAAGTTCCTGTCTGTAAGTAGGACTCACGGGTCTGCTCTGGCCCGCTGGCGTCCCTAGTTGGAAGGTCCTGTGAACCAGAGGATATGAATCCTCAGTGCAGGCTGGGTGGTGCAGGAGCTGCTGAGAAGCCAGGTCAGGGCTCGTCCTGTCTCCCAGGAATCCAGCCCACGGAGGTAAAATGAGGTAAAATGTCTAAGAAATCCAAGTCCAAGGCTGAGCTCCAGGGTCAGGCTGCTTGGGCCAAGTCCTTGGATTTGTGACCTTGGGCAAGCTGCTTAACTTTTTTGAGGCTTACTTTTCCATCTGTAAGATGGTTGGTGATAATAGAGCCTCCTTTATAGGTTTTTGAAGAGGATAAGCTATATAAGTTAAAGCTCTTAGTGTAGATTTTGGCAGCTTGTACGGTATCTATACACATCAGTTATTATTACTGCTGTAGGATAATGCAGCTAGTAGCACAGGTGATTAGGATAGGGTTCCAGCATCCAGAGAGCAGGGATGATGGAGAAGGGCTGCCTGGAGGAAGCCAGATTTGAGTCAGCATTGAAAGGAGGGCTAGGGGCTGAGACTGAGTTTCCTTTTGACCCTCTAAACTCCGGCCACAGGAATCAGCGGTTTTGGTCTGTTCCGGGCCTAGGGCTTTGTGGTTCCTCCAAAATCTCCCCATCTTTCCTCATCCCTTTCCGGCCCTGGACTGCACCCTGTCCCCATTTCCAAATTTTGCATGTGTTTATTTGGCAGTCGTGAAAAGGCCAGGGCAGCCTCTTATCCAGATGCTGGACCTCAGAGGTTGTGGGGGACGATGTCTGGGGACCTGACTCCGAACTTGGACCCCAGCTTCTGAAACCCCGCCTGTCCATCAGGGTGCTCCCTATGTGCTTTGGGGTGGAGATAACTAGGATAGTCACAGGACAGTCGTCACCGCGTAGGAACTGATGCTTGCACTTTGCAGTTAACCTTCACTAAGGAGTGCTGCTGTTGTCCGCATTGACAGATGAGGAAACTGAGGCAAAGCGTGTTTAAGTGAGCTGCCTTGGGTCATGCAGACAGCGTCACTAGGGCTTAAGCTCAGGCTTCCTGACCCTAGAACTCAGTCCCTAGCTACTTTGTGGGCTGCATCTGGCTTATCAAGTAAGGCCTTGGCACATGGTTGTGATTTATTACACCGACAGACTGGGATTTGATCTCAGTCTGTGTGACCCTTTCTCTCCACCTGTGATCACTCTGTGACTCCTGGTCTGTCTTCTGCAGAGCGGGTACAACTGTTCCACATCTTCTTCTGTCTGGGTCAGTCCCTGGTGTGAGAGTTGAGTGTGGAACCAGAGAACCAAGCCACTTGTGTTCAAATGCTGGCTTTCCCCCACACCAGCTGTAGTTGACCTTGGGTGGATTGCCAACCTGCTGCATAGCTCACTATTCCTATCTGTACAGTGGGTACAATACAATACCTGTGTGATAGGGGTGTCATGAAGCTTGGATGAGCCTGAGATGCACTTGTTCACAAGGGGCCGTAATTCATATGTCTTGCTGCTAGGCAGCTTGTATGACTATCCCATTGGGTGGCTTTTTATTAATATAAAAATGATAAAAGTGATTGGATCTGTTTATACCACCTGGGGCACAAGCCACCCAGTCTTACATGGGACAGTCTTACATGTACCCCTGATGGTTTAAGCCAGCAGGAATGTGCTAGAGGTCCTAGAGCAGTGCCTCCAAATGCTGGCGTGGAGATGTTGGGACATGCAGCTGTGGGAGGGGGCAGATGAGCCTTCTCCTTTGAGGAAAAGGCCATGTGAGTCTTGGGCATCTCGCCTCTTGGCTGGGTCTGTCTGGTAGCTCTGCCTGTTAGGGGTCAGGCCTCAGGCAGGTGCTGGTGGCTCCCAAGATGGGCACTTTAGGTGGGATGAGAGGGAGGGCTTGGGTGGGAAGAAACCCTGGGTGGGGGTACATCAGCAGCCCCCTGGGGGGCTCACTTTGGCTAAGGACAAGGACCTGTCACTCTCAGGCTCCCAGAGGGTCTGCCCGGAATTGGCCAGGCTGGGGTCCCTAGGGAACAGCCATTGTGGGCAGAAAGCTCCCAGAATGCATTCTGTGGTTCTGCTTTTTAGGGGGAGGAGACCAAAGTTTTTCTTCTCATTGGAGCTCCTCTTGCCAAAACAAGACATTGTGGTTTTGCGTTGTCACTATTTTGTGTTTTTTTTTTTTTTTTTAAGATTCTGTGCTTCCAGTCTCATATTAGCAAGAAAAGCCAGGGTAGTGAGGATAGGGAGCATGGTTCTTAGTCCAAAGTCATTGAGACAGAGTGATTTCCCTACTGATTTGGGGGATTTTCACGTGGTAAGCTGCTAATCAGTGGGTCACATAGTTCTCCTTTTGGAAAATAAACCATAATTGTAATATTGTGTATGCATGTGTAAGACGATGGGATTTTGAAGAGAAGGATGGAAGTATACGTATCTTGTGGAGAAAGGCAAACAGAAAGATAAAAAAGGAAAAATATGCTAGGAAATGCTCCTTGTAATAACCCTTTTCATAGAAAATGATGGATATGTATATGAATATAGTCAAAGAAAACATCAACAGGAAGAAATGTTATTTTCAGCATGGCTTTTAGATTAATATAGCAATAACAGTAATAATAGTGAGCTTGGTAACACTTTTTTTCCCCTCTACTGGGGATTGAATCTGGGGCCTTCGGACTGAGCTGCACTCCCAACCCTTTCTCTTTTTTATTTTTATTTATTTATTTTGTATCGGGAATCGAACTCAGGACATTG